TTTCATTGTCTTTGAGCTATTTTACAATTTTGTAAGTTGTAGAAAACTGATAGTAATGCAGTTTGCTCTTGTCCATAGAGATGCAAATGACTTGTGTCTGATGGAGCTGTAATTGATTATTTCTCTGTTGACTAGTTTTCCATCTACTTGTAAATTCATTTCAGCATCTTTTTTTCTTTTTTAAAAATATATTTATTTATGGCTGCGTTGGGTCTTCGTTGTGATGCGCAGGCTTCTCATTGTGGTGGCTTCTCTTGTTGCAGGGCACGGGCTCTAGGCTCGCGGCCTCTAGAGCGCAGGCTCAGTAGTTGTGGTGCACGGACTTAGTTATTCCACTGCATGTGGGATCTTCGCGGACCAGGACTTGAACCCATGTCCCCTGCATTGGCAGGTGGATTCTTAACCACTGCACCACCAGGGAAGTCCCCATTTCAACATTTCTGATTGCTTATGTATGTGTTTATGATTGCCTATGTGTGTATGTTTTTTGTTTTGTTTTGTTTTGTTTTGTTTGCGGTACGCGGGCCTCTCACTGTTGTGGCCTCTCCCGTTGCGGAGCACAGGCTCCGGACGCGCAGGCTCAGTGGCCATGGCTCACGGGCCCAGCCGCTCCGCACAGCATGTGGGATCTTCCTGGACCAGGGCACGAACCCATGTCCCCTGCATCGGCAGGTGGACTCTCAACCACTGCGCCACCAGGGAAGCCCCTGTGTATATGTTTTTTAAAACTCTCCTTTGAATTGGTTTTCACATCTACTAATTCCCTTATTAATTAAGAAGTGAAATAAAGCCTTTGACACATGTTTATTTATAATTGGATTAGAGTCATGCTTTTTTTTTTTTTCTACACCACGCAGCTTACAGGATCTTAGCTCCCCAAAAAGGGATTGTACCCAGGCCCCCAATGAAAGTGCAAGTCCTGACCGCTGGATTGCCAGGGAATTCCCTATTTAAAAAAAAAAAAAAAATCACTTAACACTTCTTAAATAAAAAGGCAAGGCCTCATTTAAAAACAAAAGAAAAGAAAACAAAAAAAACCTTGACTTTTCTGTCTTCTTTCCAACTGAAACATGAACATAAGCCATCTTGCAACCATGAGGATGGATTACAACAATCTTGCAAGCCTGAGAATGCAGGTGCATATGCTAAGAACCTTGGACTAGAAACATAACTAGCCTGTGTTCTGGAGAGCATTGTTGACTGACCATATCAGCTCTTGACTATCCTCCTTCCAGAGCTTCCTACTGTGAAAGACAAACACTCCCCATCCCTACCCCCGCCCCCCCCAGACTGTTTAAACTAATACACTAGGGTTTTCTATTATATCAATACTACACAATGCATTCCTAAATGATACTATTAGGAAGCCAGGTATTTCTGAGACAGGCCTGGGACCTGGGACTCTTTGCTGCAGTGCTGCAATGCTTGCACCTGGACAAACCTCTCCTCCAGCAACAAAATACGGAAGAAACTATAAGGGAGGGACTTCCCTTGTGGCGCAGTGGTTAAGAATCCGCCTGCCAATGCAGGGGACACAGGTTCGGGCCCTGGTCCGGGAAGATCCCACATGCCGCGGAGCAACTAGAGCCCGTGCTCCGCGACAAGAGAAGCCACCGCAATGAAAAGCCCACACACTGCAACAAAGAGTAGCCCCCGCTCGCCGCAACTAGAGAAAGTATGCACACAGCAACTTAGACCCAATGCAGCCAAATAAATAAATAATAAACATTTTAAAATAAATAAATAAAACAAGCTCTCTAAAAAAATGTGCTCATTAAAAAAAAAAAGAAGAAACTATAAGGGACTAAAAAATAACTGGATGTATGCACAGTTGGGGCAAATTCTGGACAAAAGATACAAAAAGACCAAAAACAGTCCCAACTGCCACTTCTGAAGATCTGGGAGCAGAAACAGGGTGTCCGGGAGCAAAAGCAGGGCACTGCACGTGCCCCCTGCCCTCAGCACCACCTCAGGGGTGGGCAAAAAACCTCAGCCGCCCTCCAGCCAGATCCCTGGACACACCCCTACCCTCACCCCATATAAGAAACAAGCTCGGGCTTCCCTGGTGGCGCAGTGGTTGAGAGTCCGCCTGCCGATGCAGGGGACACGGGTTCGTGCCCTGGTCCGGGAAGATCCCACATGCCGCGGAGCGGCTGGGCCCGTGAGCCATGGCCCCTGGGCCTGCGCGTCCGGAGCCTGTGCTCCGCAACGGGAGAGGCCACAACAGTGAGAGGCCCGCGTACCGCAAAAAAAACAAAAAGAAAGAAACAAGCTCATCTCCCACTCGGGGAGTGAGCAAACAAGGGAAACTGTTCATTGTTCCCGCTTCCCCCTGCTGCAGGAGCCCCAGTAAAGACTTGGCTGAATTTCTTGTGTGGCCTCTGATCAATTTCTATTGATTGGGGAAGGCCAAGAACCCTGGTTGGTATCATTTCCTTTAACACAAGAGGGGAACCCATGGTCAAGCAAAGCCTGTGTGAAGGAAGGAGACAAAGGTTGAGACCTGGCTAAGAGACAATGGGGAAGTGATGTGACACCTGTCATTTAGATGAAGCATAGAGGAAGGAGCATTCTGTCACTCACTTTCTGAGAATGATTTCGGGTGCACGCAGCAGTAAGCGGCAGCTTGCGTCAAGCAACAGCGAGCAGTAGCTGGAAGCAAGATCTTAGTTCCTGCGCCGGGGGTCCTAACCACTAGACCACAGGGGCCAGCGGCTAGGACCTGGATCCCTATTTCTTGCCTGCCTTGTCAAGAATGAATTCAGGCAAGGAGGCAGAAGGTAAAGAGAAAAGTAAGAAGTTTATTGGAAAAGCAGAGTACACACGGAAAGACAGACGCACAGGCGAACTCAGAGAGAGACGTGCGCTTTGGGGAAGTTTAAATCCTTTATAAAGGGGCAGTTTTATGGGTCTTTTGTCTTCCTTCTCACCAATCATCTTGTGTTGTCCCCCTTGGCTAAATTGTCTCAGGTAATGCAAACAGAAGTCTAGTTGTAAGTATCCGGCCTGAAGCCCACTTTTTTCTGCCTCATGAAAAGTAAGCGGGAGGAGGCCAGTTGTAAATGTCTAACCTGGGGCCCATCTATCTCCTGCCTCAAGAAGACTTCTGTCAAAGAGAATGAAAGCGTTTGCCCTGGGCTCCCTGAATGCGGAGTGGCTCCTTACCACACCTGATGCTTTGTCATAACATCATCTATTTTCTCAGGAAATCATGGGTTTTATTTTTCCACTCTTGGGGCTGGCTTGGACCTTAGCCAGACATTTTCTTTCATTTGGTTCTTTCTGGGCGTTTTCAAGATGGTCACTCGGGGTAGAGTGGCTATTTGTTGACTGTCTCTCTAGCATCTCCTCTCTGTCAGAGAGGCTTGGACGCGTTCATCTCCTCCCCACACTCGACCCATGCGGTCGATCGAACCGTCACAGCCCCCCCCATTCAGAGTTGGAGCCCGTGACCCAGGTCTAAGGCAATCAGCACATGGTAACAGCGATTAATTGATTCAAGGGCAGATCAATCAGAGTGAATCCCAGCACACTTTTGAAGGAGCTTCTAGAAAAGAGGCTCTCTCTTTCCCACTGGACTTGAGTCTCAGAGGATTCACACTAGAGCTGCTGGCAGCGATCTTGCCACCATGTGGGGGGTTTTGTTTGTTTACTTATTTATTTGGCTGCATCGGGTCTTAGTTCCCTGGTCGTGGATCGAACCCAGGCCCCCTGCGTTGGGAGCACAGCGTCGTCTTAACCACTGGACCACCAGGGAAGTCCGACCCCGCTGTGGTTTGTGAATAAAGACAATATGGAGAGCAGATTTGAGAGATAGAGAATGTTTGACCCCTGATTCCAGCCACATCTGAGGTCAGCCTTAACCCTCAACTTTTCTGGATAAAAGTCAACACATTCCCAATTTTGCTCAGGCCAGTTTGAACTGGAATGTCATTTTCAAATTAGTTCTGATGGACACATAGGGTTAGGGCTAGTGCAGCCCTTACAGGGGTTTGTTAAGACCTATTCCACCCAATGTTTCCTAACATTTTCCCCCCACTGTGATATACCCAATGGATTTTATGCCCTTGTAGAGCACAATCTCAAAAACAAATCTACATTTTGATGACATCTCCAAATGACTGCAAGGATGTAAATCATTATAATAATTTGTGATTTTCGCAACTAATTACAAAACACACATAAGGTAGGTGGCCATGGACTATGGTAGATTAAATGGGTTGTTGTTTGATTCCTTTCTTTCCCCCTCAAGAAGGCATTTTGGAGCTCTTAGAACAAGGCCCAGTCCAAAGAGAAACATAGGGCTAACCTTCAATCTGTCTCATCTGCTTAAGTAAATAAAACTTTAAACTCTAATGCTTCCATATTAGCAATAAATTACCAGACACATGCCATACATGAAACTGAATTCAGGGAATTCCCTGGTGGTCCAGTGGTTAGGACTCCTCGCTTTCACTGCAGGGGGCACAGGTTCAATCCCTGGTGGGGGAACTAAGATCCCACAAGCTGTGTGGTGTGGCCAAAAAAAGTAAATAAATAAGAAATAGAAACTGATTTCAACATACCAGTGGATCGAGACACACATGGATGAGAACTGACAAGTGAATTGGGCTCAGTTTATTCCCAAGCTACATGAACTATCTTCAAAACTAATACATTTTTCATCTGTTAGCTCTGGTCTAAATTGAAAACATTTATTCTTTTCTGAAAAGAGAGTTTGTATTTGTCACCTTTCTCTCTTGAAGGATGGAGAGCCTTTGAGAATTATTTTCTCAAGGGCAAGATGGTACCTTTCGCTTGGATCTTTGATGTTTAAACTGGTTTAGAAAAAACCATATTTTTAAATTAATACATTATTTGTCTTTTCTCTGTTTTCTCTATTTGTCTGTCAAACCCTGAGCCAACCAATTTCCCTAGGCTGCCTGGGGAGGTAGAGGAAAAGGAACATACAGGGCAGAGAAACACAGGAGAAAGAACTATAAGAGGTGGAGACAGCTCCTTCACAAGGTAAAGAGGATGAGAAAGGCCACCATCAGGCCAAAGGTCCCCATCGCCTCTGAGAGGGCAAAGGCCAGAATGGTGTAGAAGGCCTGTTGCTTCAGAGAAGAGTTCCTGGCATAACCGATGATGAGGCTCCCGAACACAGTCCTGATTCCAGCCCCAGAGCCAGTCACCTACTGTGGCAGCCTCAGGTCCAATGAACTTGGCTGCTGTGTTGATGTCCCTTGAAATGGCACTGAAATGTATATGTATAACTGAATTGGGGACTTCCCTGGCGGTCCAGTGGTTAAGACTCTGCGCTTCCACTGCAGGGAACACGGGTTCAATCCCTGCTCAGGGAACTGAGATCCCACATGCCGTGCTGTGCGGCCAAAAATCAAAGTAAATAAAAGAGTAAGTGGGGATTCTTGTACCATCTTTGCAAAAAAAAAAAAAAAAAAGAATAACGGAATCACTTTGCCATACACCTGAAACTAATACAACATTGTTAATCAACTATGCTCCAACATAAGATAAAAAGTTAAAAAAAAGCTGGGGGGCACTGTTTTGGAAGCTGCTGCTAAGAGTAAGTGAAGTCAGGGGACATGGGGCCGCCAAGCTGCTGAGGCTCTCATCTGTCAGCGTCTCTGTTCATTTCAGCACCACTGCAGACAGCGATGGGCTCAGTAGCTTAGAGGTTCTCCTGACCTAGAAGGAGGTGGAGACAAACGTGCAAATGTACATTTTCAGGGGATGAAGAGCTGTGGCAGGAGGGCTGCTCCCAGTGCAGAGAGACAGAGAGCTAGAGAAAAAAAAAAATTTTTTTTAATGAAAAAATTTTAAGAATCCAGGATTGGATTCCAGTTTCAGGAATAGCTGGATTCTAGAGATAAAATAACATACTCAAGAATCTACCTCTCTCAGGGGCTTCCCTGGTGGCACAGTGGTCAAGAATCCGCCTGCCAATGCAGGGGACACGGGTTCGAGCCCTGGCCCGAGAAGATCCCACATGCCGCAGAGTAGCTAAGCCCGTGCACCACAACTACTGAAGCCTGCGCTCCTAGAGCCCGTGCTCCGCAACAAGAGAAGCCACCGCAATGAGAAGCCCGCGCACCGCAATGAAGAGTAGCCCCTGCTCACCGCAACTAGAGAAAACCCTGTATGCAGCAACAAACACCCAACACAGCCATAAATAAATAAATAAATATATTTTAAAAAAAAAAAGAATCTATCTCTCTCAAAGGATTGGGAGCCTGGGATTAGCAGATGCAAACTAGCGTATATAGGATGGATAAACAACAAGGTCCTACTCTATAGTGCAGGGAACAATACTCAATATCCTGTGATAAACCAGAATGGAAAATAATATGAAAAATAATATATGTATGTATAACTGAGTCACTTTGCTGTACAGCAGAAATTAACACGACATTGTAAATCAACTCCACTTCAATACAATTTTTTTTTTAATCTACTTCTGTCAGAAAATTATAAAGCAAAAGTGAAAAGTGCTTATGCTTGATAATGCTGGATACAGGTAGGGGAGTTACTTTGTACTAGTCTCGTAGCTTTTCTGTAAGTTTGAAATTATTTCAAATTTAAAAGTTTTTTAGGGGACTTCCCCGGCAGTCCAGTGATTAGGACTCTGCACTTCCAGTTCACGGGGCACAGGTTCGAACCCTGGTCAGGAAACTATGACCCCACATGCTGTGCAGCGGGGCCAAAAATTAAAAAAAAAAAAAAAGTTTTTAAAAAAGAAACTCTCTCTTTTCATGTTTTGTCTCCTCCCCTACGCTTTTGTCATACTCTCCAAATGTTTCCCCAAATTTACTACTAGTTTAGCAATCCCAGAAGAAAGATTATCTTTTCCAGTGGTTCTAGCAAACAACTCAGGTTGGTAGATCAAACGTTTGTGTCCCCCGCCAAAACTGTACGTTGAAATCCTAACTCCCAATATGACAGTATTAAGAGGTGGGGCCCTTGGAAGCTGATTAGGTCATGAAGGTGGTGCCCTCATGATGGGATTAGTGTCCTTATGAAAGAGACCCCGACAAGGGCCTGCTTCACCTACACCCTACTCACATGACTGACCTTCCTATGTACTTGCCCCAGGTCCCAGATAGTGATGGCTTATCAAAGGGGCAGTGAAGGGCGTACCCCTCCACTGGTTTCCCTGGTAGCAAATGAGCCCACCTGACGTCAATTCCCCTATAATTTGTCATCTCCCCTTCCCCTTGAGAGTGAAGACTGCCACCAAGTCCTGCCTGCCATGCGCTGCATGTGGTGGGGCATCGCTCCAGGAACTTGCTTCAGACATGTAAGCTCCCCCGTCCACTAAACCACTGATGCCTCAGATAAAATAAAACAAAAGAACCTCCAGAGAGCTCCCTTCCCTTCCGCCATGTGAGGACGCAGAGAGCAGACAACAGGAAGTGGCCACTCACTAGTGATTCTGCTGGCACCTTGATCTTGGATGTCCCAGCCTCCAGAACTGTGAGAAATAATCACAGAAATAACCTGTTGTTTATAAGCCACCCAGTCCATGGCATTTTGTCAGAGCAACCCAAATGGAGTCATCAGTCCCCTGAGTCCTGTGCCCACCTGACCCAGTCACAGTGGCCACAGGGATGAAACGATCTGATCTGCCAGATGTCCATTCCTAGAGCCAGATCCTCTCAAACCTCAGAGATGGTCAAACCTCGGGGATGGATCAGTCAGCAAAGGAAATCCGGGTGCCAGTGCCAAAAGGAGGGCACGTAGATGCTGGGAAGACCCAAACGGCATAGAACTACCCCATCATCCAGTCTTGATCCCAGAAGCCCTGCTCAAAGGAGAAGGGTGGGGGGACTGAGACGACAGGGGAGGAGCAGACATGACAGAGGTTAATGAAAAGCAACCTGTTCTGCTTCTCCAAGAAGTTTGATGTTTCATAAGGTCATTTGCCCTTCCTGCAACACAGGACTAACAAGAGACACAAGTTCTGCCACAAGAGGCCCATAAATATTCAATATAGAGGAGGATTAATTTACAAAGATGATACAACTTTATCATGATGGGGCAGGAACTTGATCAGGTTTACAGTGAAACCCGTCTTTGTTTAGCCCTCGTATAAGGGGCGCAAAGCCCCTGACATTCTTTTTTTAAAAATATTTATTTATTTGGTTGCACTGGGTCTTATTTGCAGCAGTCAGCCTCCTTAGTTGTGGCATGCATGTAGGATCTAGTTCCCTGACCAGGGATCGAACCCGGGCCCCCTGCATTGGGAACTTGGAGTCTTAACCATTGTACCACCAGGGAAGTCCCAGCCCCCTGACATTCTGAGAGTTATATTACAATACATTTAAGTGTACCTCTCTTTTATTACAAAAATATTACAAAACATTCACAGTGGGTACAGTAAAAAACCAAAATTTCCCCATCTCCAGAGTGCTATTAACAGTTTGGTACATATAATGATATTAATAGGAATATTAACTAAAACATATATAGCATTTACTCTATGTTGTATACTGCTCTAAGCACTTTACATAGATTAACTCATCTTTGTTACACAGTTCAAGCTCGTACTGCTCAATGCACAACAGGCCAATAAATTGAGAGACGAATTGTTGGGGCAGGGAATAGCGACTTTATTTGGAAAGCCAGCCGACCGAGAAGATGGTGGACTAAAGTCCCAAGGAACCATCTTCCCTGAGTTAGAATTCATGCTTCTTTTATACTAAAAGCGGAGGGAGTAAAGTCCTGGTTCCGGTCAGACTTGGGAGGGGATGTGTTAATTTCTTTCTTCCTGCAGCCATTCATAGGTGAGCCTGGTCAGGAGGTTTCCTGTGAGCTAAACCAATGTATTTTATTTTTTTCTTATTAGTTAACTATTTTATACATATTAACGGATATATGTCAATCCCAATCTCCCAGTTCATCCCACCACCACCACCACCACCCCGCCACCGCCCCCCCACCCGCCAATTTCCCCCCTTGGCGTCCATACGTTTGTTCTCTACATCTTAAACCAATGTATTTTAGCTTAACACTCATTACATAGGAGGCAGGCTTCCCAGAGATGGGCCATTATGCATAATTTAAATTTATAGGCAAAATCCCTTTAGTGATTAACTTGTAATAGAATGCAGAAGTTCTTCCCTATTACAATTTTGCCTTCATATTAGAACAACACGGGTAATATCACTTCCATTGGACACGTGAGGAAATTGAAACTTTAAGAGGGAAGTAGCTTTTGCCTAAAGATCTTGCAGTCAAGAAGTGAAAGAATTAACTTTAAACCCAGGCAGCCCAACTCCAGAACACATATTCTTATCTTCCAGATTTTGAAAATGCATATACATGTTTTTTACTGAGTTGCAGTTCACATAAAGTCACCATTTAAAGTGTACAATTCAGGGATTCCATGGCGGTCCAGTGGTGAAGACTCCGCACTTCCACTGCAAGGGGCATGGGTTCGATCCCTGGTCAGGGAACTAAGATCCCCCATGCCACGCAGCGTGGCCAAAAAAAAAAAAAAAAAGTACAATTCGGTGGCATAATACTTTGTTGTTCAAACACCACTTCTATCTAGTTCCAACATTTTTTCACCCCCAAAACAACCCCTGTACCCATTAAGCAGTCATTGCCTATTCTCCCCTATCTCCAGTCTTTGGAAAATACTAATCCACTTTCTGTCTCTATGATTTATATATTCTGAATGTCTCATATAAATGGAATAATACGTTACCTCTTATGTCTGGCTTCTTTCACTTAGAATGTTTTTGAGGTTCATGGACTCTGTAACATGAATCAGAACTTCATTCCTTTTTATGGTGGAATAATAATACCTCACTGTGTGTTGATATCACAATGTGTTTATCTGTTGATGTGTTGATGAACATTTGAATTGTTTCTACCTGTATTATTCAGGGTTCTTCAGAGAAACAGAGCCAATAGGGTGTATATATATATACAGAGAAAGATTAATTTTAAGGAATTGGTTTATGCAACCATGAAGACTGGTAAGTCGGCAGGGTAGACTGGCAGGCTGGAGACTCAGGGAAGAGCCAATGTTGAGGTCAAGTCCAAAGATCATCTGCAGGCAGAATTCCTTCTTGCTTGGGGGAGGTCAGTCTTCGTTCTAGTAAAGTTTTCAGCTTACTGGAAGAGGCCCACCCACATTATAGAGGGCACTCTGCTTTACTCAAAGTCCACCAATTTAAATGTTAATCTCAATGTAAAATAGCTAGCTAGTGGGAAGCAGCTGCAAAGCACAGGGAGATCAGCTCAGTGCTTTGTGACCACCTAGAGGTGTGGGATAGGGAGGGTGGGAGGGAGACACAAGAGAAAGGAGATATGGGAATATATGTATATGTATAGCTGATTCACTTTGTTATAAAGCAGAAAACTAACACACCATTGTAAAGCAATTATACTCCAATAAAGATGTTAAAAAAATGTTAATCTCTTCCAATAGACACCTTCAGAAAAACATCCAGCATAACGTTTGACCACATATATCTGTGCACCGTGGCCCAGCCGTGATGACACATAAAATAAACAATCACACCACCTTTTAGCTATGGTGACTAGTGCTGCTCTGAGCATTTGTGTACAAGTATTTGCTTGAGTCCTATTTTCAATTCTTTGGGGTATATACCTGGGAGTGGAATTGCTGGTTCATATGGCAATTCTATGTTTAACTTTTTGAGGAACTGCCAAACTGTTTTCTACAGCGGCTGAGCCATTTTACATTTCCACCCAGCGACGCACAACAGCGTATACATTATTTTTTTAGCTTCCAAA